TCTTCTTCTTCTTCTTCTTCTTCTTCTTCTTCTTCTTCTTCTTCTTCTTCTTCTTCTTCTCGTTTCTTCCTGAGGTTTCTCAGGTTTTGTGAAACATGGGAGCGACTGCCCTCTTGTGCATCATGTAGAGGTCGATGGTGGCTTCGGCTAAGCCGGGTGAGGAGATTTGAGTGAGAAGAAAATGACTTTCAAAGGAAAAATATGCGACCGTTTCACGAGCCTTCCCCAGTTTCGAATGCATTAAAATGCCCTTTGTCAGGCGATGGCCCGACTTGGCAGACAAGTCATCTAACCCTAAAACCTAACTTCATTTTTTAACAGTCCCCAAGCGCTTTCTCGCTGTTTTATCAATCTGGTTGCTGATCAAACCATTTGGGTATCGAGTCGAATCCTGACCTGCTTGCTTGTACGTAAGACTGACACCGCAGCAAATTCCTCCAAGTGAATTAGATCATCCGGAAGAGATTGCTTTTCTCAGCAGATCATTTGGCGTTACGCTTCCCCCCTTAGGTCTTCTCCCCAGCCATCAACGCAACACAGAAGTATATCTTCCTGATTGACGGCTGCACCGGTGCAGCTGAATACCCTCTGTTAATGTTTGCTCCTTCTCTCTGGCGTCCACTGATTCTGCCACTTCCTCCTCTGTTCTATTTTGACGTTTGATAATGGCAACTTGGGTTATAATTAAACTTCCAAGGTGGGAGCAAGGAAGGGGGAGAGAAGGATGACCTTGAAATGAAATGCTGTAATGCCAAGGAAGAGGAAGCATTTAATTTGTTTATTGACCTATTCATTGAAGAATACCGTGCTGAAATGGGTTCTCTGCTTGTCTACTTTATTCCCAGGGTGCTTGAGAGTTTCTTAGAACATTGTCAAAGATGGAAGAGAGGGCTGCTGATGGTGTTTTAGCTTTCTATGACCTACCCAGTGCAGTTTTTCCTGGCTGCTTAGACTTCCTGATCTGCAAAAGGTCCATAGGAAGAGTATTCTCCTTTCTTCCTTTGAGGTTAAATGGAAGGATGAGAAGACGTGGCAGCTGCAGGCTTACGATAGCAAAATGACACCCAGAACATTCCCATGCACGCTTTGGCCCACTGGTCATTCTATTAAATACAAGAGCTCCACACTCAGCCCAGGAGATACTTCTAAAACGTTCTCCTTCTTTGAAAATCTAGCCATAGGAAAAGTTGATTCAGAAGCTCAAGCGCTAAAACAAACATGCAGAAGACGTTTTCATTACCACACCCATTTCAACCTTGTTCTCCAAGCAGAAAATGTCCCGGAACAGCTGGGAGCAACTTTGCTATGGAAGAGACAAGGAGGCCCTTCCAAGTTCAAACTCTACTGTGACCATTAGAAATATCAGCCAACCAGTTCCCTCTGGAATTTCACAAGCATGGTGCAACAGAGAAGTGCCCACCCTGCCATGTTTGGCCTTAGAAGAGTGATGATATGGACATGTTATTTAACACCATGTCGTTCACTATTTCCAACAGCCTACCGCTGTTGATATCAGCCAGAATACAAGATAGAGTCCCTCTCAAGCTTGGGAGGAAGTCCAACCTTTATTAGGGAGGGGTAGAGCAATCCTGAATGGTTGGGAAGCTGAAGAAGAGCTTTGCACGCTGCAATAATTTGTGGTTGGATCCCATTGTAACATCACATTCCTTGTCTTTCCCTGGTTGCCAGAATTCTTCAGATGGGGGTAGGAGTGGAAGCCAAAGCAGGATCAATGCCTTACCTGACATCTCCCTGGTAAGAGATCACCTCGTGGGGCTCTCCTCTGGATTGCTGCCCCAGCTTTGATAGATCTGGGCATGCTGATGTATGAAATAGTAGCCTTTCTTTATTCACGTATGTGGCTACTGCCAGCCAGCATTCATCCTACCATTTCCTTGTGCTACCTGCACTTGCACGGACATGGAAAATGTGGGGGTGGGTGGGGGTGGGGGGCAGAGAGTAGATGGCCTTGTTGTACCTCCCATTGATATCACCAGAGTCTCTGCAGATCCTGAAAACAGCAGAGGTACTTCCCAAGGAAGCCCATCTTACGATGCTGATGTCTCAGGACTAGTTCTAGCATCCCGCTGAGACATGGATTCTTTAAGCCACAATGACTACATTAATAGTTTGCCACTGAACTGTAGCGATTAATGTGCCTGGAGATTCAATATGTAGTGCAATTATATGAGCTGCGTCCATTTCATGTAGTTAATATTCAACTAAAATCGATGCTTGTTTCTGACAGGGTCCTTCCCACATTTGGAATGTGAACCCCTGATGTACCACTCAGAATTGAAGGATGGCCCTCAGTCTGAAAAAAGATTGCACGCTCCTGATCTTGTAGACATATCTGAATGTTCTTTCGTCCGTTCCTTCCTATCTAGGATGATGTCTCCTCTTTCTACGAAGAACTTCCAGCTTTCAGAGCCTCACCTCCTGCCCCTTCCTCTCAGTCCCTGGCAGTCCCTTCAGACCAGCTGCACAAAAATGTTTTGGGATCTTCTGAATCCTCCCAGTCAGGCCTGTTCTTCATGGCTTCCCAGAGCCCCATGCCATCTTCCAGCCTCTCTGAGAAGGATACCAACAGCCTTGCCTCTTCCATGGAGGACTCGGACTCCACCAGCATCTATGCTTCAGTCTCTCCAGCTACTCGCGCTTCTAGGAAGCCCGTGGATGCCCGTTTGCTGCTGATCAACCAGCACCCAGTTGTACCCTTCCCTCGGATCCAGTCACCCACGCGGCTGAAACACCCCTCCCCTGAGACTGTTGGCACATCCCCAAGCCCCCATTCCCCTTCCCCTCCACCCCTTCCCTCCCATTCAGCTCCCTCCCCTCCTGGTTTAGAAGTTGGGATCGCCCAGCACTTTATCATGGTAGAAGTTCATCGGCCAAATGGCGAACCAGATGTGAATGAGGTCAAGCCACTGCCTCAAGCCAGAGGTGACCACGTCATTTCTTTCTTTCTTTCTCTGCAATCAGTGAAGGGGGAGGGAGCATGGGAAAACAGCTTTTGCTGGCAGGTTTGCAACTGAAACTATATTCGATGAGAAGAGGCGAGAAGAGACGTGAAGTGGTCCATGGGTGTCTTTCTGCTAACAGAACAGGGAATGCAGCTGGTGTATTTCCATTCAAGCATACAAGTATTTATGTGTAGTAGTTCTGCACACATGTATTTACTAGTTGGCCAGGCTACCTTTCTCCTGCCATGAAAATATTATTCATCGCTTATTCAGTGGCTTGCAAAAATGAATATTAAACAGGCCCCAATCAACAAAACGTTTAAAAACAAACAAGCCTGAATTGAACTGAACTAAATTGAACTAAGGTTGACAGCCCGATTCTGACATTGTGTGGGAAAGAAGAGAAGGCAAAAATCAAAATGTGTGCATTTAAGTGCCAGTATAAAGAGAGCAAATCAGACGTCTTGGGGTGGGAAATCTTCCAAGTTCTTTGCTGCCACCTAGATGGCCCTTCACCCATCCCAGCCAGTTCTACCTCTGATGGCTGTGATGATCCTCAAGAATGGAAAACTGAGAAGGCTGACCTGGAAGACCTAAACCTGCCCAACGACTTTTGTTCATCCCCAGCATCTCATCTTTGGTATAATGAGCATGACGTGCCATGCTTTGGAAACTCTTTCTGCAAAGGCAATCCAAACTGCATTGGCCTTTTTAGCAGCTGCATCACACTGCTGGCTCATACTGAGACCTTGTGCTCAGCTGTCCCAGAAACTAAGGTTGACTCTAGGCCCAGGGTAAGAGGAAGTAGAAGCAGCCCCATTGATTTACCTGTGGTTTTCCCGGTGCTGCATTTAAAACTTGGCATGGAGTATACTAGGGACCTGCCCTAGGATCAGCCTTACCAGGTACATCAGATAGGAAACACAACCAGATGAGCTAATTCTACTTTATTGAAAGGCTACATTAACAGATTCTTGCAAGGATGAAAGTACAATTCTCCCCCCATCTCCTTTACACCCCGAGAAATCAGGGAGGGTCTCTTCTGAGCCTCTTGCCCTTCCCATTGTGCAGCTGTGGGCTATGCCGTCTCTTATCTGACCATTCCCTAAGCAGCATCTCTTCGCCCGGTCTCCCTTGGTCATTCCCACATACCATTGCATCTAGTTCTCAGCACCACTCCTTTTCTTTTTCTCCTCTGCTGCTTCCCTAAACAGCTTGTCTCTCCCCGTTTCCCACCCCAGCGTCCACGCTGTCTCAGCTTTCGGATAGCGGGCAGACCCTCAGTGAAGACAGCGGCGTTGATCTTGGAGAAACGGAGTTCAGCACCAAAGAGAAGAGTCAGCGGCTGCAGGGCCCACCACCAAGCCGAAGTCCACAGGAAGTTCCCAGAGTGGGCGGAGTGGTAGAGGCGGGACCCAAGCCGGTGAGGGATCACTTGGGCAGGAGCAGCAAAGGAGGCAGGGTGACCTAGGGGGCTGACTGTGATGGGATGTATCTACAAAAAAGAGGGTGATGTGAGAGATCAAGGCTATCAGGAAGGAAGGGGTGCATTCCAGGAGGGGAAAGGAGACAAGAGACAACACAGTCCAGAGCAGGAGTGTGGGAAGAGGAAGAGGTTCAGGGTAGCCACTCCCTAGAATCTCCCAGGATATATCCACTAGCTGCAGTAGTATAGATTGAGTCTGGCAAGATTGCTGTCAGACCCAGCCCAACAACAATGGTGAAACAGTCCAGTTGAGTAAAGTTCCTTTATTTGCTTACACCTTATAGACAG